CACACACTGTACAACAATTATATTAACTCTCAGGTCCAAGACATGCATAACAGAAATACCCCAAAATATACAGTTAACGACAAGGTACCCCCTTAAGTCTTATATCCCCGGATAGCCTGGATCTGAGCGCCCATCATATCCGAAAATGTCTCAGATCCCAAGAATGAAGCTGAACCACCACCAAGGTATAGTTTAAACCGACCGCACACGAGGAGCCTGCCCATGAAATTAGGCTGTGCAGTCGGTCTCTCTCAGGAGTACAAAACCCAACAAAATAAACAAATAAACTGTTCGTGCATAAGTTCAACCAGTGTCCCTTGTTTGGGAGTTTGTTCCCACCGAACACCGCTTTTCACAGACGAATAGAGCCGAACATAGGGGTGAGTGGAAGTCTCAGCAGTGTTCATGCCGTCAAATGTCCGATAATAGTTCCATGCACTTGATGACCAAACACAGCTGGATGCGTCGACAAAACAAGATGGCTGCCACCTCGTGTTCGTCCATACAAACGGCAGCCACCCAGCCGACCACTTAGAACATTAAAGTGTTTGCGGTTTAGGAAGGTGTTATGGAGGTCAAGTGGGTCAACTAGCAGCACACAACAGTTCTGGGTGGTCTAGGTGTTCGGTACTTAGTTCGGTATATGAACCAGATGAGGTTTTGTACATGGTGTCACCTGAGAGGATGGTATTTACCATCTCCACATTACTTGGTTTACGCACAACTCCATATCCAATGGTTTATTAAGTATTTCTTTGTTTTCATTAATATTTTGAGGACCACTTGTTGAGACATGTATAGGTTGCCAAGTGGTTGTAACGAAAGATCATCCACATTTAGATCATTACTCCCATTACAGACCATTTCCATAAATATTTCAAAGTTATGTTAATCTTAATGTAGGATGAATATACTTTTATTGCACATGTTGTTGTATTGGGGGAATCCAGTGTCTTGGATTTTTACTCTTTCTGTAACAGATGGTATTTGTACTACACCAACTTTCTATCTCATAAATTGGCATCCTAAATCCAAGTGTACTTACCAAATTCTTTGTTTCAAAACATTTAACTATGAGTCACTTGATGTGTATTTGGAAAGATGTTGGTCAGGGAAATAGTACCTCGTCAGTTTGTTATTCCTCTCATTGCCCCTCTGTTGTGTCCTTATACACAATATTTGGTCTGAAACAGCTCTGGCCTAAAAATATTCTTAAGAATTCACCTGGTGTCTATTTTGGACTAATCTTGGTCATTGTCTGAAGTATCAAATTGAAGGTGGATACCTGGTCTAAATTGACTTATTCTCCTTCTTGACCCTGTAGTCTTGAGAATCTCTCACACATTTATGGTGTTAACATTGTTTAATCTGGAATTTTTATTTGGGATTCTAGTTGGTCAAATCATGAATCTGCCTTCCTCTACATTCTTATTTATATGTGAATTAACCTATTTGTGTCTCTTAGTTTTGGATTTGCAGATAATTTCCATAAATCTCTTTGAACAGAATGTTGCTGCCTCTTCCCATTTTATTATGCATTAGCCAGTCATTCTTACGAATCAATGTAGTATCTGTGTGATGCAATTTTAAATTAATAATAATAACATAATTTGCTTGTATACTCTTTTTATCTTTGCTTCCTACCTTTTTGGATTTGTTAAATTTAGTTAAGATTCACAGATGGTATCATCAGCAATATCACGTATAACTGTGACAAATTGTGAGAACAGTAGGGGTTTATTCAAAGCCATCAGATGAAAGCTATCTTTATGGAGAAAAATGTTCCTGTCCTTCTGTAAGCTTGTCATAATTGGTAAAAATTTGTAAATCTAGAAAGTCAGTCAGGTGTTGATCAATCATTGTGAGAACTTTACAGTGGTAGGCAGGGAATTCAGTCTCTGTGCTTTGTCAATCAAATCTTGTTCAGTGCCACACCATAACAACAACACATTGTTGATTTATTGGATACGATTCAAAATTTTGTCTGCAAATACTGTCAAAATTTACTTGTGCTCATAAGCATACATAGGTGCCATCGCATTCATGAATGTCCCAATCTTTTGAATGAAAAACTTGTCCTCAAATTTAAAGTTATTCAAGGTCCATGTTCAATGTAGCAATTCCAATATGAATTCAGTAGGTAAACCCTCATGTAGATGTGACTCATAGAGGACCATCCTGTGTAGAATTAATACGCTCATTGAGTGGAATATTAGTGTACAAACTTTTATTTTTCTTCATGACAAACAACAAGTAATTGGATAAAGACATGCCATTTAATCAAGCTATAACACCACCAGTGTCATGAATACTTGTTGATAAAGCTAGGACTTTTTTTTAAAACAAATTATCCAGCCTTTCCTATAGTTTCCAGAAGACCACCATTTGAGGACCCCATGGGGCATAAAAGTGAATTTTAGGTAGAGCGCATTGAAAAGGATCACCTCAGTTGAGATTCAACAAGGTATTCACTGAGTGTTTTTGAGTTTATTTTAGCATAATGTAGCATAGCATTTAAATTGACACACTGATAAGTGGTTGACTTATCTAATTTTATCAGGATATGCTAAGGTAGTCATTGTAATTCATAATTATGACCGAGAACCTTTATTGACAGGGTGGATGGTGATGTCCTTCTCATGGGCTATGATGCTAAGAGCCTCATATTGCTCATGAGAGATGTCACCAGGGCAATCTTTAATATTGACTGGACCCTGGGCAAAGCATTTGCTTGGGCCTCCTGGACCCTGTCTCCCCTCCCCAGGAGTGCAATCACGTCCTCCACCCCAACGCAGTGGTGGACCTAAAGTAGAGAGGTGCAATCATTTTTTTGGGCCTCCCTATCACACGGATGATTAAAAGGTAGACCCCCATCTTTTGTGAAACTCCAGAAATGCATTGACAGCAGGGGCTCTACCATTTATCCACGTTTGCAGGTTTGTATTAAGCACTAAGCAGTTTTTGTGTAACACAGATGGGGGTTTGGATGTAGTGTTGAAGTTTGAAAGCAGGGGTGTATTTGTGCATAGGATTAGTGTGTGAATGCTGAGATGTATGCATATATACACACACACACACACACACACACAGATATATACACACTGGCACACATGTAGATATACAGGCACATATACACACTGACACACAGATACACAACCTGACAAACATGCAAATACACAGACATACACATAGATTCACCGAAACACACAAAGACAACATACAGATACACACACAAATATACATTAACACATACACCCAGATATACTGGCACATATAGAGACAGACAAACTGATACACACACTGACAGACATACTGACGCACACTGACAGACATACTGACGCACACTGACAGACATATTGACACACACACTGACAGACATACTGACACACACACACACACACAGATATACTGACACACATACTGACAGACATATTGACATACACACACATACAAACACATACAATTTACAATTTAAACCCACCCTCCAGTTATCTACCTTGGTGGCTGGCTTTCTTGCTGGTGACTGAAGGTGTTGGGAGTTTGGGTCTGGCTCTCTCGGCCAGCCCACCTCCACTCTGCCTACTCTTCTTTCCCACGCAAGCTCCTTTCTTTGTGGGAGGAAGTGACCGTCACTTCCTCCCAGCTGGCTGCCGAAAAGCAATGGGCCCGGTAGCACTGTTAAAGCGCCTGCTGACAGAAGCCCATCTGGTGGCCCTTTGTGCATGGGCCATCTGGTGGGCCTTCTCAGTGTGCGGGTTACCGGCGGGGGAGGGGAGAATTGGTTGAGGCCAGCGGGGCCCGCGGTGCAGCTGCTTTGGGCCCCCGAGGAGTAACAGGGCCTGGGCAGCTGCCCCGTTTGCCCCGCTTTAAAGATGGTCCTGGATGTCACTTCAGTGAAATCTCGTGATTTATTTAACTGATTGTGGTAGCTGACAATTCTGTCTAATCGGGGAAAGACTTTTATAATTACTTTAGTTGAGGGTGGATCATTTGTCCATTTAAGCCTGTATCCCAATTCAGGAGAGGCACAAGTTAAGCTGCCAAAATGGTCAAACAGGTATAAATTAGACAATTGTGTTCAACCTCCCATTTGAAAGGATTGGCGTAAGAGGTGGGAACAAATAATAAGTCTTTTAATAAAATAGACATTTCAGGATTGGTCAACAAGTCCGTTAGATAAGTTGAAAGCTGAAGTGGTATTGACTGATTGGAAGATATGCTTTTGGTACTGCGTGACCAGCCCTTTTGCCACTGCCTGTTAATCCATCATCTGCTATATTTTCACTGTATACCTGGATCTGAGGCTCTTGTTAATACCACGATGTTGTCTAAAATAAAATAGCTTCTGGTAAAATGAGGATCAGGGGCCGAAGAGGTAGTAGATGGTGGGGACAGGCTCTGAATCTGAGCCAGACCCGTCATAGATATAATCAGTAGTAGAGCCAAGAGCCAATGTGGTTCAATGGACAATCTGAGGAATTGATTGCCAAACTATCTGATGAATTGAATGCATAGAAGTGGCAAATAAAACACAATTATGAAATGCAGGTTATGGGAAAAATAATGCCATCTTGGGTTCTGAAAACAAACTATGATTATAGCAATATGGTGTGTTGTAGCAATATTATCCCATATTACAAACTTCACTGTTATGTATTCTGTATAAACATAACAGTATCAAGACGGCATTATTTAATAGTAATGGAAAAATAATGATCATGTAGTAGACAGATGTGAATACAGGCACACTTAATAAATAGCCTTTATGTTTGTGAGTGAAAGACAAAATATGCTGCAGCTGACAAGAGATGAAAAAAGATCAAAGAAGATTTTGATACAGAAATATGTTTTATTTATCATACTGCAGTTCTGAGAGAGACAAGCTAGTTCTAAGTGTGAAATAGGCTGGGCATATCAATGTACATCATACCTCAGGACCTGCAGTCTACATCACTGGATGATGATTTATTTGGTTTTCATTTGAAAAATGATCTTTATCCTTGTATTATCACTAAGCAATGCTAATATTTCCCCCTAACATCAAAGTTTGTTAAAACATCAGTGAGATCTCTTGCCCTTAAAGTCATAGTCTAAGCATCAAAATAACAATCTTAATGAAGTCATGCGGGAGCATCAAATCTTTCCCTGCTCTGTCAGGTGAAAATTGTGCCGTTTCTGAGAAACCATGATGAAAATAGTAGTTGCACTCAATCCTTACAGCCAACCAGTGCTCTGGAGCAAGACCAGCAATCCCACAACGATAAGGCAAAAAATAAATTCTCCAGGCACTCAAGGTGTTCAAGCCGCAGGCAGTTTTAATAGAACAGAAAAGAGCAGCAATTTTTTTTTCGACCTGCTAAGAGGTCTTTGTTAAGCTAACACCACATAGTCAAAATAAGAGTATATATATAAAACAGTGCAAATGATCAACCAATAATGAACTTACACATATCTCATTTACATTAGTGATTAACACAAATCATGCAAATAACAATAACATACATAAGTACATTAACCCCTTAAGGACCGAGGACGGTTCAGGACAGTCATCGGCATTTTTGCGTTGCCGACCGATGACGGTCCTGAACCGTCCTAACGGTCAGAGCTACTTACCTGATCGCCGTCGTTCCCCCGGCGGCGATCAGCGTGGCTCCGGTTGTGGGGAGACTGCCTGCCGCCCAGACAGTCTCCCCACGGCAGATTAGGACCCCTGTGGCCATGTGATCGCTTAACACAGCGATCACATGGTCACAATAGGTGTCCTAGTGTCTGCCTGCAGGGGGGCTGCCTGTGCTGACAGGCAGTCTCCCTGCATGTGTAAAATCAGAAAAAAAAATAAAGTTAATGTTAATAAAAAATAAATAAATAATTATATATGTGTATATATGATATATAGACATATATTATATCTATATAATATATGTCTATATATCATATATATATAATGTCATACTAAGTGTATTTTTATATTAATATGTACTTTTATTAATATAAAAATACACTTATAATTAAATTACACACGTATATATATATATAATATATATAATAACTATATATATTGTATATATATATTATTATAAAATATAACTAATAAGTAATTTAAATTAAATAAAATTTTTTTAAATAATAATAAAAAATAAAAAAAAATTATATAGCTATATGAAATTTTATTCTAACTGTATTTTAAAATTAATATATATATTTATATCAAAATACACTTAGAATGAATTTGGATATATATCTATGTATATAAAAATAAATAAAAATAATAAGAAATATACATACGTCCATATACAAAATTACATAAATAATTATATAAATATACACGTAGACTTCAAATATATAAATATGCATATATATTTAAATTCTACGTGCGTATTTATGTAATATTTTTACATAATTTAGTAATTTTATTGATTGCAATTTGAGGGACCTGCCTGCCAACCCAGGCCAAAATTCCAGAGAATTTAATTTGCTAGCACTATATTTTACCCTGTAACGTTCTACGACACCCTAAAACCTGTACATGGGGGGTACTGTTTTACTCGGGAGACTTCGCTGAACACAAATATTAGTGATTCAAAACAGTAAAACATATCACAGCGATGATATTGTCAGTGAAAGTTACTTTTTTTGCATTTTTCACACACAAACAGCACTTTTACTGATGATATAATTGTTGTGATACGTTTTCCAGTTTTTAAACACTAATATTTGTGTTCAGCGATGTCTCCCGAGTAAAACAGTACCCCCCATGTACAGGTTTTATAGCATTTTTGAAAGTTACAAGGTCAAATATATGGGTCAAATATTTTACATTGAAAATGGCCAGGTTGGTTACGTTGCCTTTGAGAGCGTATGGTAGCCCAGGAATGAGAATTACCCCCATGATGGCATACCATTTGCAAAAGAAGACAACCCAAGGTATTGCAAATGGGGTATGTCCAGTCTTTTTTAGTAACCACTTGGTCACAAACACTGGCCAAAATTAGCGTTCAATTTCGTTTTTTTACTTTTTTCACACACAAACAAATATGAATGCTTACATTGGCCAGTGTTTTCGACTAAGTGGCTACTAAAAAAGACTGGACATACCCCATATTGAATACCCTGGGTTGTCTACTTTAAAAAAAATATGTACATGTGGGGTGTTATTCAGAGATTTATGACAGATAATAGTGTCACAATGTCACTATTGATAAATTTTAAAAAATGTATGTTTTGAAACCGCAATATCCTACTTGTACCTATAGCCCTATAACATGCAAAAAAAAGCACGTAAACACTAGGTATTTTTAAACTCAGGACAAAATTTTGAATCTATTTAGCAGTTTTTTTCATTCGCTTTTGTAGATGAGTAAAAGATTTTTCAAGTAAAAGTCAAAAAACATGTATTTTTTTAAATTTTTCATCAGATTTTTGTATTTTTTTTAAATTAAAATACATGAGATTATATAAATAATGGTATGTAAAGAAAGCCCCTTTTGTCCTGAAAAAAACAATATATAATTTGTATGGGAACAGTAAATGAGAGAGCGGAAAATTACAGCCAAACACAAACACCACAAAAGTGTAAAAATATGCCTGGTCGCAAATGTACAACATCGCAAAAACAGTCCAGTCCTTAAGGGGTTAATCCAATACCCATGTGTGTCCAAGGAAGGAGAGACAGGAAAAAAAAAATAGAAATGAAAATAAACAAAAACGCTAATTAAAGTCCAAAAAGAACAACTTCCGGTCAAATGGAACGCAGAAATGCGTTTCCTGTTCCATGGAACGCAAGAGAGAAAGAGTATGTAAACCAGATCAGCCTACATTAACACTGATCCACTCACGCAAGCGCAATCTAAAGTAAAGAGGAGTCATCCTAAAGCACTCATGCCTGCTCGTACGCTGACATGCACGAACGGCACTACTCGTTCGTAAACTCATACACATTATAGTGTTATCTTATGTGCAATTGTTATTGCATTTTTTTGTTTTGAGTGATGTTATAATTGTGAGTCCACCGATTTGTGCAAGTCTTTATTTTGCACATGTTACTTTAATTACTGAGTACCTGTAATTGCTATTTACGTGAGCTCACTCTTTGTTTTTGTTAGCTTGAGAAAGGCTCTTTTTGGAGCCAAAATGTTGCATGGTTCTTCTCCAATAAACCTGTCTGAAACCAGCATTTTGTGCCCAGTCTTTTCTATTGTGTTATTAATACTCCGATGGGCTTTGTCTACGCAGCGCTGGATGCACTTTGGAATGTGCAATTTCTATCTTATTTCATTGCATTTAGAAGGATTTTTTTTAGACTTTTTCTTTAACACTTGTTACACAAATAAATCTCACTGTTCGAAATGGAATTTGCCATAAACATTGCATTCATTTTTATTTTTACACCAACCACAGGGCCGGACCGGCCCACCGGGATACCGGGCAGGTAGCTGGCTCCCCTGCGGCCGCAGAGAGAGCTCTTCTGGCGGCCGCAGGGGGAGCTGAGTCTTCTGGCGGCCGCAGGGGGAGCTGAGTCCTCTGGCGGCCGCAGGGGGAGCTGGCTGTTCTGCCTCAACTCCCCCGCCCTCGCTCGCTAGAAAGAGACCGGGGCCGGAATATGACGTCATATTCCGGCCCCGGTCTCATTAAGCGGCGCGCTGGAGCGGGGGAGCAGAGGCAGAACAGCCAGCTCCCCCTGCGGCCGCCAGAGGACTCAGCTCCCCCTGCGGCCGCCAGCACAAAGGTAGAAATTATGTGTGCCAGTGTGAGTGTATGTGTGTCTGTGTCATGGTGTGTGTGTCTGTCTGTCATTGTGTGTGTCATTGTGTGTGTGTGTCTCTGTCTGTGTCATTGTGTGTGTGTGTGTGTCTCTGTCATGGTGTGTCTACCTGTGTCATGGTGTGTGTGTGTTTGTCATGGTGTATGTGTCTGTCTGTGTCACCGTGTGTGTGTGTCTGTGTCACAGTCTCTCTGTGTCTGGGTGCCTGTGTGTCATGGTGTGTGTGTCCGTCTGTGTCATGTAATGTGTGTCTGTGTCACAGTGTGTGTTTGTGTCACAGTCTGTCTGTGTTATGGTGTGTTTTTGTCATGGTATGTGTGTGTGTCTGTCATGGTGTGTGTGTGTGTCTCTGTTATGGTGTGTGTGTTTCTGTCTGTGTCACGGTGTGTGTGTGTCTGTGTCACGGTCTGTCTGTATCATGGTGTGTGTCTGTCATGGTATGTGTGTTTTTACTCACCTTTTCCCCCCCACGTCGTGCTGGTCTCTCCTCGACTGGCCCTGCCTCAATGGCTGAGATCATCAAGCTTGATGATCTCAGCCAATCCGCACTGACACAGGAAGCACCTCTAGTGACCGTCTGAGTGTCTGTCACTAGGAAGCAATGCAAACACTGCCTTTTCTCTAAAAAGTCAGTGTTTCCATTGAAAAGTCTGCAGGGACAGGCTATAGACACCAGAACCACTACATTAAGCTGTGTGTGTGTGTGCATGCGCGCGCGTGTTTGTGCGTGCCTGCTACTGAGCTTGTGTTTTTATGTCAATGACCTTATGTATATCAGTGACATTGTTTGTTTATGAGGCTGTGTATCAATCATCTTGTGTCAGATTGTCTGTGTCTGCATGTGAGTATGCTTACTGTATAATTTAAAATTTTACTCTGAAAGGACCAATATTTTATATTGGAAAAAAGATATATATATATATCAATCATCTAGGGTGGCAAGACATAGCCTTACATATTACATGCGACAATATATGGCGCAATGACTTATGGGGCTGGCATGGATTTTTTTTCCAGGGCTGCTTTGGAATCCCCAGTCTGGCCCTGACCAACCACATGATTTTTCTCAAATAAAAAAGGGCATTGATCAGAAGAGAACAAAGGGTGGGAGAAGTTCACATACCTGGAAAAATGTGTATACAACCCGATCTAAGAAAGAGGCTGATATCAATCTGTTATTCATGTGTTAACCAAAAGCCACCAATCGCCAACTGTGGATTTGTCCAGACCTTTCACACTGATATTGGACACCCTCTGGACCAAAACACAAAGGTGTAATGGCGTGCGCCAATCTCTTTTCATCCACTATGTCTCACATGGTGGACATGTCGGTAAATAACACATTTCTGGCAAGAAGTTTGTATGCATATTGTATGCACTACAACCAGTATGTGTACATATGGCACTTACAAACAAAAAGCGCTAAGAACAGCGCTAGTCAGCCCATTGTCTAATTTGGTTTGAATTGACAGTGGACTGGCACAAGTGTGAAAAAATCTTCAATTCCAAGGCCGAATAGCCTGTGACAATTTAAAAGTGAGATCAACTATTGCTCAGACCAAACAAGGCATTTTTTCTCAAGGAGTTTTGTAGAAATGAGTCCACACTTCCTGTTTTATATACTCTTTGGTAATGCCAAAAATAAAAACAGCTGATACAGAAAATAAAAATATGGTCACAATGGATCCCTTATGGGCGACTCAAATGTCGCTCATATGCAGTATGTGTAAGGACGGATTCCTATCAGATCATTCATCTTAATAGCAGCTCATAATTAGTGTACTAATAGTATATGAAATTATACAAACTGGGATACTATAAAAATAAAGATTCTCAGAAGAATAAGCGTTAAAAAGTAATAGCAACATTAAACATGAAAACAAATTACCATAAAAAGGATTGTGACATAGTACTAATATTTACAGAATCAAGTCAAAATGTTAAAGCCATACAAACCCTGAAAATCGAATGATGCAAATAAAATAAAATGAAAAGGCATATTGAAAAAAATACTATGCTATAAAAATGTTAAAGCAACCATTATGTCTCACCCACTGGGCATAAATCTCATCAGCCTTTAAAAAAAAAAAAAATCAAAAATCACTAACAAAGTAGAAAAGCAACAAAAATGGATAAAATTGCTGGGTAAATCGCTACCTAACAACACCACTCACAACCACCTCCCCCTTCCACACATCCCATCACTAGGACAATTTTTTAGCTTTGTGTTCATATTTCGATTTTGTGTTTAAGAAAAAGCTTTGCTAGTGGCGGAGCCTGACCTTGCAAGGAAATGGCAGCATAACCCACGGCCACTGCCAAGATTCAGCCTAATCTACAGCCATCTGCAGCACCTGAGCCCTCCAAACGTTCAAAATCCAACCCCAATTCCTCCTTTAGCCACACAGATCCCCCAAACCTTATGGGTGGCGTCAGGAAATCCCTCAACTCCTCGGTAGCGCCCATCTTCCACACTAGGCCCCGGCACCATCTTAACCTCACTCCCAGTCCGAATCAGACTCTGACATGAGTAGTACAGTGGCCTTGTATCGCACCAGTGCCCCCCTCACAAGACAGGGGCTTCTTGGGGAAATTTTAAAAATCCGTGGTGGACGAGCTAGACAAGTGACTAGCCCTGATCAAAGAGGGCATGGCGGACCAGGTGGGCCGGGCCCAAACTACAGAAGACAAAATGGAGGACATGGCAGAAGCAATCGACATGCACAAGATAGACCTAAAGGACCTCAGGGACCAGCTGCACTTCTAGAGGAAGCTAGTGAAGACCTTAGTAACAGGTCCTGCCGGAACAATATCTGGCTAAGAGGCTTGCCTGAAACAATATCCACTGAACTCTTGCAGGACACGATCACTAACGTGTTCTGAAACCTCCTACCAGAAGTGACTACAGTGGATCTCCTCATGTATTATGCTCATCGCGCCCTATGGGCCCCCAGCATTAACCTCCCTACCCCGAGACACGTAATAATCTGCAAAGACAATAAGTTCTTCACCATCTCACAACCCGTAGAAGCAGCGGAACTCCTGGACAGACTGGACCTACCACCGGTGACTCTATTTTCGCAGCCCCAGCACCTGGCCAGACCACCACCTTTGGCACCACTGAGATGACGTATGCTGGCAAGAGACGTAGATAACCCGACAGCCCGGTTTCAAGCACAGCCTGCGACCTCAAGAGACTAAGGCCTCCCAAGATTTAGACCCAGGGACTAAAGTTGTTTGAGACATCCACAATCTGCATCACAGAGACTACATTATTTACGTTCATCATCCAGCTCTCAGGGTAACACAGGGGTTACCCTGCATCAAAAATGCCTAACTTTCCTACCTGGACTACTCCAAGTACTAACAGACTGACTGTACGCTCACCTACCTGAGTTAACGCATGTGACAGCTCTTGACCGACCCGACGCTCCTCCACCGTTCACCATCCTCCTTTCCCGTTCCATGACAGCCGACTGATTACTGATGGGTGCATTCAACGACGCCAGACAGCTCCCTACTGGCCCTTTTACCCTGATCAACACAGCCCACGGACAAGATTGCTATGCACTACTACACACCTGCAACCTCGACCCGCCTGTTACAATATGAAGGTCCCCCAAATGCTAGGCACGACAACCTGGGCCCGACAGACGGCAGGGCCTCTAGTTGCACCCTGCGCCCGGTGGACTCCTTCCAGTTCCGGACAACACCCAGCACCAACAGACTGATAGCAACCAGCCACTCTCACCGGGTGCAGGTTACCCTAAGCCTCTACTGACAGTCCCTGCACAAAGGTACCTCACTAGGGCTGCTGTTACCTGCTGCTATCTGCTGCTACCTGTGTATGTATGATTTTATTATAATAATTCTTAGCGCTGTCCACCTAACTTACTAGCTTGTTTTACCTCACTAGGGCGCCCGGCACACCACAGTGATACTACAGGCCCGGGAGACTGACCAGCACCTGGATGCTAGCTACACCCTCTCATGGTCCAATGATAGGTACCCACATGTAGCACCCTTACGGCGAACAGCCTGAATGAAATACGCAGCCTGCCCCTGACAGAGCCAAACTCAGACCCCAAGGACCGCAAGCCCTCCCAAACCCCCGGGCAGCCAAGCGCACAAGCCCGAAGATGACTGGACCTCAACAGTCAGCCTCAGACCAATCTTGACATCCCCCACATCACCCCCCGAGGTCCTGAGATGGACCACACAGACGCAGCAACCGCCCCGTCCCTCTAGCCATTTACCAAGGGACTAAACAAGTCGGGGCACAGACAAAAAGAGACGCGACACGTCCCATTAGTATATCTCGACCTAAACACTACCCATCCACTATCCCCCAAGGGTCTAACGCTGACCATAACACCCACTCTGCAATAACGCAGGCATGGAAACCGGAAGGTCCAGGTCGGCACACACCGACAGGGGCCTAGCACACACAAGCACGGGCCACTAAGGTCAAGAGGCACTTAACTGACAGGAAACACTTTCCGTTAGTAAATCTACATTATCAACGCTATTACTTGGCTTACTCACCGGACCCAAAGACAAAAGGAGTTGCGATTCTGCTTTGAAATTCATGCCTGCTGACAGACATCCAGACTAGCAGAGACCCCCATGGCTGATTCCTCCTACTCACCAGAACTATAGGGATGCACAAAACCTCTATCTGCTCGCTGTACGCCCCTACCATACCTGACGCTGCATTTTGGGAGCTATTCACGGCCCACATTCAAAGTCTCCCGACAAGAAACCAGATCATTGGTGGGGACTTTAACGCCACCCATACACCCGCCATAGACCAAAAAGTGCTACCAGGCCACACCTCAACGGCTACCAGAAGCAACAAACTCTTCACAAAATTCCTCGCAACCACAACTCTGCTAAACACCTGGCGCGCACAACACCCTACTACCTTGGATTATACCTTCTTTTCGCATACCCACCACTCTTACTCCAGAATTGACGGCTTCCTCACCATGCCCACGGTCTACCCATGGTTGACCCAAACTAACATTGGCAACATCGCATGGTTCAACCCTGTGGAAGTCTCCATGACATTAACCATACGAAATCTGACACGACCTTGGTTCTGGCGTTTGAATCCCACACTGTTCCATAACAAAGCCAAGATCCACACCCTGACAACATACATAAAAGAATACTTTGACATAAACATTGATGAAAACTCACCCCCCCTGCAATAGTATGGGCAGCTCACAAAGCAACACGGAGCCACTTCATCTCGCTGGCCACAACCCTTAAAAAGCGCCGACTGCAGGATTTAACAGACTCCTCAAACGAGCTTAAAAGGTTAACAGCCACCTCTTGAAATCCCTAGCAATGGCGGACGTATACAGAACCCTGATGTGGACGAAGCAGAAGTTCTATGAAAAAAGCAAGAAGGCCGACTTATTACTGGCACATTGCCTCTGATGAAAACAGGAGATGATAAGAATTTCCAAAATTTGAACTCAATCGGGGGAGGTCATCACCCAACCTTACAAAATAGCACAAACCTTTGCACACTATCACACCACACTGTAAATCACTCCTTGCATACCCCGGACCCGGAAAAGGCACACACAGAGCGATTTAATACGTTCCCTTGATCGACTCAACTTGCAAACCCTTACTACTGATGCAGCAGAATGTCTGGCAGCCCCCATTGAAGCGGAGGAGATCAGAACGGTTCTTAAGACCCTGAAACCCCTGAAGAGTCCTGGCCCAGACAGATATACGGCTATCTACTATAAAACATTTCAAAACCTGCTGATCCCCACTTATGCAAGGTCTTCAACTCGCAAGGGAAACCTCTCCCATTCGACATGATCACGGCTGACATATGTCTCATCCCCAAGCCGGACAAAGATCATCTGGATCCAGGCCACTACAGACCAATCTCCCTCCTAAACACAGACCTGAAGATCATAACAAAAGCCCTAGCAAACCACATAAACCCGCTCCTCCCAAAACTAATCCACCCAGACCAGGTCGGTTTCATCCCCAGATGACAGGCAGCAGACAACACGCAATGTCCCATCGGTGGTTCTCTTGCTGGACACCGAGATGGCATTCGGTCGTCTGCTCTGGCCTTATCTATTCACAGTGCTGGCACATGTCGAATTTCTAGATGAATTTTGGAACATTCTCAATTCGCTCTATGACCACCCTAAAGGACGCCTCGTGCTCCCACATAACGAGGCCCCAACGGCACCGGGCAGGGATGCCTCCTCTCCGCCTTGCTTTTCGCAATCTCAAGCCATACAAACCCACCCAGAAATACAAGGCGTCTGGATCAAAAGGGACACTTACACAGTAGCGGCATATGCTGACGACATCCTCCTAACATTGGCAAACCCTGTACATTCCCTACACGCCACTCTCTCCCAGATCGCAGACTATGCAACCCTTTCCAGCTATAAAATCAACTGGACCAAATCAGAACTCCTACCCCTATCCATGTAAGAGAGCCAACTCTGCATGATCCGCGCATCATTCCAATTCAAAATTACAACTACCTCTATCACATACCTCAGAGTCCGAATATCAGCCAAGCTCCAAGAACTCTACAAGCTTAACTACAAACCATTACTCATGACGCCCATGGCCGATTTGCAAAGATGGGACACACTAGGTGTATCCTGGCTTGGCCGCGTAGCTACCATAAAGATGAACTTGCTACCTCGATTCCTGTACCTCTTCCAGAACCTACCGATCCCGATCGTGTGAGCATATTTTAAAGGCCTGCAAGCAGCCATAGACAAGTTCATCCGCAGGTTGACCATGTATGTCCCAAAGCAGCAAGGAGGTCTCGGACTACACAACTTTCTCCATCATCACCACGCTGCACAACTGACGCACCTTCAACAATGGCACGCCCCACCAGGGGCCAAAAGATGGGTAGACTTTGAGCATTACATCCTGGGGTTGGACCAACCGTCCTCATACCTCTAAGGTACCACCCGCACACAGACCGCTGCCACCATCCACTTCATGCCGGTCACACACACCATAGCCCTGAGGGACAAACTCAATCCCAAATACGAGCTGTCCTCATATCTATCCCCGGTCACACCAATATATCGCAATAAACTGTTCCCACCCCAAAACACTTTACTAGCTTTGACCAAAGGGACATCTCCAGACTGCTGCAAAAGTATGCCGGGGCAAAGTATTTGCATACAAATCCAAACCTCCCAAATCCCAAATGATCTACAAACTGCCAACTACTTCCGCTATATACAACTCAGAGACCTAGCAAACACACCTATGATTAAATAGGCGTGCACAGTACCACCGACGGTATTCGAACGACATGCAATCGGGCCAGGTCTCCAACATTTATAATGCCTTGACAACACATACCTCCCAAATCAAACTCACATACATAGTGGCATGGGAACGGGATCTGGGGCCACCCGAAGACTAGAGCGTCTAGATTGAAATTTGGGAAGCGACCAGCTCACTCTAGGTGTGCGTCACCCACAAAGAGCAGGCATACAAAACATTACATCGCTCGTATATGATGCCATACTGCCTCCACAAGATGGGCAGACTCCCAAATAACCTGTGCTGGAAAATGTGCGGGGACACGGGCTCGTACTTACACTGCTAGTGGAACTGCCCCAAATTAAAACCCTTCTGGATGGAAGTTCACCTCCTGATAGAAAAAGTCATCACTAAACCTATCCCAGCTGATCCTTAGATGATGCTACTGTCAAAACCAACTGACTCCCTCTTCCGAAGTGAAAACAAACTCACCACCAGGATCACACTAGCAGCAAGAAGAGCAATCGCTGAGCTATGGGCAGATCAACGCATCTCCACGATATCGACAGTCACCCGCATAGTCAACGAGACTCGCAACCTTGACAAACGCACAGCACAGATACATGACTCCTTCAAAGCATTCCATAAGATGGGACCTCTGGGATGGCAACGGCATATGACGACCTAAAATCTAGTCATCCCTCAACAGGCCACCACCCCTTCCTCTGTCTTGACACAAGCTGATATAGGACCAACGACCCCGGACCTCAAAAAAGAGGCCATGGACTGTCAACAAGCCGGACCTCCCATCAGCCTTCCCCCTCACAACCCCAGACAAGGCATGCAAGAGGTGCAACCACAAATGGAACACGGGGGCACCATCGACACAACCGCCTTCCTCCCTCCTTCTCTGCTATTGCTGTCACCCCCCAGCTAGCCATCTACCTTCCCATCTCTTCCCCTCCCCCTAACCAGTCCCCCTCTCTCAGTTATAACGTCTCCTAACCCCTTTCCACATGGATGGATGAGGGGACCTTGAAGCGCGGGGGTGGCATACACTCCACACTCTTTTTCTCTCTCCTGCCCCCCCCACACATGGCAGGCACAGTAAGGGTCGCAGACTACCAAACACAGTCAACACCAGAGGGGCCCAAGTAGCAGCACCCCATTGCACCCATGTAGGAGTGAATGCATGGTTCGATCGGACACTCAGAGGAGCCCAAGGGCTCTGCAAGCCCTAAGGGCACCTGCCCCTTGGCTATAGATACCTTGGTCCACTCGTGAGCAAGCCAGGCAGTACAACAAGGGTCAGTTACGTACGAAACAGTGGGCCAGATGACATGGGACCACAGGAGGTCGATACACTTAAAACACCAATTGTGTACTGTCATGTGATATGTGAATTCTTTGCCTTCCTCTTTTCCTTTCTGTAACCCAAGAACCTTTTTGAAAATAAAGAATTTAAAAAAAAAGAACAAGCTTTGCTCAATTTAAGTAAAAGCTTTTGGATAAAATGGCACATAAACAAATTGTATTTTAACATGGATTTGTAAGCTTAAACAGAGAAAATCATTTTGTTAATTGCCTGAAAATGCCTGAGAGCATAAAGGTAAATGGCAAAACAGGACAAAACAAAATCAGAGAGCACAACAAGCATTAATGTACAACATATCAAGGTACATTTAAAATATATAGATGTTGCAAAGGGGAGCCTGGTAAGAGAAAAATTACCAAAAAAGGAACACAATGGTTCAGAGAAGAGTAACAAGTGAGGGTCTGATTAGTTGGGTTAAGGGTAAAGGGTAAAGAGCAGTAAGGAAAATAAATATGTATGAAATGATGAGTAAAGGAGACAGTTTTAGACAAGGTGGAAAGGAAAAGTGAGCATAGCATGTTGGCGGTGTCAAGCACTGTGTGCTGCATTTCTCATACGACCTTCCAGTTCTAAAGATTGATTAGGAAATGTACCTTTACCATTAAATTGAGGGTGATCTTTTCTCTGAGCAAAGGCACTTCCAAAATGTAAGTAAGGGCTATCTGAAGCCTTTTGTCAGTGGATGAAAAAAGGGCATTTTTCACTTATGTAATGCTGCCGTAAAGACCAAAATATATTCAAAATACAGATTAAGGAATAGCATGCACACAAAATGATAGTTTTATTTTAGCAAACAAATATGAGAATTCAGTTCCATCATATGACCATTTAGTTTTTAGCCCACCTCTATGTTACAGTACTCCAATAATGGTGGATCCTACTGTAGCAGCCCTTTGGCATCAATAAAGAGAGGAGAACTTCTGATGGGTGCAGTATTTTATTCTTTGCATAGAAGTGTGCAGGAATGCTCTCAACACCACTAACATCAATATATTTGATCACAGGGAAAACTTTAATGGTACATGCATACCCCATGTGCAATACCTTAGGTTGTCTTCTTTTGCAAATATCATGCCATCCTGATGGTAATTTTCATTCCTGGGCTACCATACAATCTCAAAGACAACATAACCAATCTGGCAAATTTCAATGTGAAAAAAATGAAAATCAAGCCTTATATTTGATCCTGTAACTTTAAAAAACACTATAAAACCTGTACATGGGGGGGTACTATTATACTCGGGAGACTTCGCTGAACACAAATATAAGTTTTTCAAAACAGTAAAACGTATCACAGCAATGATATCATCAGTGAAAGTGCCATTTGTGTGTAAAAAATGCATGAAAATCGTTTTCACTGACAATATCATTGCTGTGATATGTTTTACTGTTTTGAAAAACTCATATTTGTGTTCAGCAAAGATTCCCGAGTATAACAATACCCCCCATGTACAGGTTTTATGGTGTTTTGGAAAGTTACAAGGTCAATATGGGGCTTGCCCATTTCAGTTTGCCAGATTGGTCTGCTGGGTCTATGTTGCCTCTGAGACTGTATGGCAG